GGAGAGAGGAAGGCAGGGTCTTGGAGCTGCCTTTCCAGAATCATCCTGTTTGCAGAAACCTACCCTGCTGGGCTAATGACGTTGCTGGCAGTGTAAGTTTCCCCAGATGGATTCTCTGGAGTCTCTCTCATGAGTACATCCAATCTGAGGGCTCTGTTTTTCTTTCTTTTCTTTTAATTTTTGAGAAGCATTAGAGGAAAGGAACTAAGGGCAGCCTCTTTCACTGACCTCTGACCAGAACCCTGACCATGGACTTAAATACATGACCCCATCTTTTATTCTTTATCCATCAGCCGCAGCAACAAGAAGTCGTCTCACGCTAGCTTAAGGCCCTCTCCATTTTCTCTCTTTCCTGTGCGACCTTCAGTGTCCAGAGGAGGGAAACAACACCCAGAGGGCTGACAGGGCTTGGAGAGGACTGGGGGAGGGAGGGGCTTAGACCAGGGGTTTGGGGAAGGGTTCTGTATTCCAGACACCACTCTCCTTTAGGTAGTTTCTCCAGGCTCGGGTCTCCTTCTGTGAACTGTGCGTGTCTCTTCCCAGGTTAGTTTTTTGTATACCTCCATCCTGGCCTCTGGACTTCTCCTGTCTCTGTTCTCACTTCACGATGGCTCTGTCTTCCGAGAAATGTGACAGGAGACCAGGCTTACAAGGAGCTTACAATCTGGGCTATCTCTGCAACAAAGATAGATGAAGGCTGGGTTCCTGATGTTAGAGCATCTTCACTAAAGCATTCATGAAATGTGGCAACTCCTTTGTCCGGGGGCAGCAGGAGCCCCGCCCACTCACTGTGAGTTCTGAGCAGCCTGCACTCTGGCAGCTGGAAAGCGAGCTCTGAGTCCTGAAGAGCTGAGACTTCAGCCTTCCCTTTTTGAAGAGGTGGGACCACATCATCCTCTTCCTGAATGGGTGGAGCTGCAGCATCCTCTTCTTGTGGGGTGGGACTACAGCATCTTATAGCCTACTGCACTTGCCTAAAGGCAGAGATAGGTCAGTCAGCCTCCCTAAAGTGAGGATGTGTCTAACCTTTTGGCTTCTTTGGGAAACACTGGACTAAGAAAAAAATGTCTTGGATTATATTTTTAGATTTCAACGATGTCCAATTCATAGCCTGCAGGTTTTGAAAACACCCATTTATGTGACACTGAGACACGGTGTTGTCATCAGCAGAGTTCATACTTGGGTGGTGCACAGTCAAGCTTCAAAAATACTAGTGGGAGGCTTTAAGTAAGTTTGTGACTGCGCTGGTCTGCTTTCATAGCTTTCCTGGGCTGCATATAACCTGCTGGCTGTTTGCTGGATGTCCCTGAAAGCTTTACATGACTAGTCTGTGTGTTGGGAAAGAAGATAAACATGAGGCAGGATCTCAGTGTGGAAGAGAGCCAAGGGATGATGTGAGCCTGGTCCTCCAGGCTGCAAGGCTGGTAGGTAAGTGGAAGGCAGAGGGGATAGTTGCACACGTGCCCAGGGCACTGAGAAAGACACTGAGAGCCCAGGGTGCTTGTGTCCACTGTGAGTTATTTGTTCATTGGTGGAGTTGAGACCCCCCCCCCCCATCTCAAAGTGCTTACACCTACCAGAAGTTGACAAGCTTGTAGAGTTGTGTGGTTTCACCCTGCGGGCCTTTTAAGCCAGCACAAGTGTCTACGTGCCTGCTGGCCTTCTTGGCCCAGGAGCCACACTCTGGAACCAGTCAGTGACAGACACAGTCAGATGGCTGGGAAGCATTGAGAAGTTCGGTCATGGGGTCCTGCATCTTGCCCCACCCAGGGTGCTTCACATTTTCAGACACACAAGCCCGGGGAACACAAGCATGCCTGTTTCCCATGCAGAAGGCTAACTCCGTTGGGGATTGCAAAAGTAACGTGTGTATGAAGTGCGCCCCATCATTGCAGGAGGGATGGCAACGATGTGGAGGCTGCGCCTGCTGTTAAGGAACTTGGATTCTGAACCACACTTGTCTGTCAGACAAGCCAGTTTCACTATATTCCTGTGAGGGGAGCTTTGGCTTCCTATCTCATGAGGAAACCGAGGTACAGAGATGTTGAGTAACTTTCCCAAGAACACACAGCTCCAGAGGGAGCCAGGTCCCTGCCCAGATTTGTATGACTCAAAAACTAAGGCACGATTTATTCTGTTAACTGTAGTGTGGGGAGGGGCTTCTTTCTGTGGCCCACAGGCCCTAAGTGCACTTGCTCTAGGGTCTTCACCCTCTGGGGCCTACACTGTGCTAAATGCACTTGCTCTGGGTCTGCATCCTCCTCCAGCGCCCCGAGTATCTACCTTTTAACACCTACCCCTCCTACAGGCTCTCCAAGGACTGCCTGAGTATTTTTCATATGGGATCAGATGACAAATACTTCAGGCTTTGGGATTCAAGGTCTTGTTCACGATTCTTCAACTCTGCCCCTGAAAGCAGCCATGGAAAGCCGGTGAATAGATGGCCATGGATACATTCTAATAAAACTTTATTGATAACAGTGCTAGCAGACTTTAACCAATCATCCATAGTTTTCTGACTCTGGGTCCCTGCTTGTGGACACATCTGTCATTGGTGAGAAGGATAATGATCCCACTGGAGGTGTTGAAGTCGTCTCCCAGGCACTCACCTCTAAGGACTCTGTCCTAGAACAGAGGTATTCTCTGTGGTCCACACTGCCGGGGTGCATTGCTCAGCCAGCCTTGACTTTGGGGCTGGATCTGCTAACAAGAGCCTGTTCAGACCCCAAGAATGAGAACCTGTTTTCAAAAGGAACCTTTTGGGTTCTGTTCCTTTTGGGTGGGAAGGTATGGTGTTGTGTATGTGTGTGTGTGTGTGTGTGTGTGTGTGTGTGCGCATGCGCCCTCGAGGGGGTCATCTACTTTCTCTAACACCCATTCCCTTCATCTGTAAACCAGCTTGCAGACTGCTCTGGGAACTGCACCTTCCTGGGGAGCCTGGGGCAGAGATGCTGACACGGCCCACCGGCGTGGTCTTGCCCCTCTGGAAAAGCACTATGCCCTGGGCTGACAATGTGTCCATGCTTCCGTCATTCTAAATGCAAAGCCACGATGTCAGTCGCTTCAGGTGACCCACCAAGATTATGCGGGGAGAGGATCCATATCCAAAACACCAGAACCAGAAGTCTTTCTCTGGATTGTGGTACATGTCCACCTATGCAATGGTTTGTCCTTGGGGTAGGACCTGAGTCTAGCCACGAAATTCATACACGCTACTTGTACACTGTACACATGCAGCCCACAGGGAATTTCACACAAGGTTTTTAGTGCTGTTGGGTTGTGACTGACATGTCACATGAGGCCAGGTATGGCACTTTCCAGCTGGGGAATCGTGTCCACACACAAATACTTTCTAACTTGAGAGCCCTTGAAAGGCCGCGTTTCCTCATCAGGCCTGCTCAGCCTATACTCTGATTATCCCTAGCAGGGTACAGGCTGGTGCCTTAGGGTCTGGCTATGAGATTCCCTCTCTCATTTCACCTCCATCTTCTCTGGGGCTGATGGTTTGTTTTATTGTTTTTGGCCTTTATTGATTTTTGCCTCTTTTATGATTTGGCCATAGTCTATTTTTAGTCTTGTGGGTGATTTTAACCTTAAGGCATCTCACCACTGTTTCTCTTCATTCTCTTTACCCAAACAGAAGCAAACAGAAAATCCTCTTTCATAAAGATAAGCGGTCCTGATCACATTGGCTTTTCTCCCTGTGTTATTCTCTCTCTGTTACTGTTTGCATTTTAGGGATTGGATGTTCCCATTTGAATTTCTGAAAACATTTTTTTTGGCAAGATTTATTTATTTTTAAATTTATTTATTCTTATTTATTTATTGTTTGTTTGTTCATTGTAGTTTGATTCTGTGCCAGTTGGCACACTAATGAACTGGGTCAGTTGCTCTTACATTTGACTGCTATTCAGAACCCCCGAGGGCCTGTTCCGCCATAGCTGAGTGTCTCTCACGAGCCTGAGGACTTGTGTTTCTTCCACGTTTTCAGGAGCTGCCACGCCCTGGGATTGCCATTCTAAGAACCACCCAGGCTTCCCAGCCACTACTCTTCCATGGCTGCTGGGATGACAGTGGCAAGCCTCTGTTTTCTACACCCAGGCTCTGCCACTCCTGCCTCCCAGGGGAGATCTCTTCTCCAGGTGGAACTCTTGACTTCTGGAGTGAGTTTTGGAAGTGTTTCCAAAAGGTAGAAAACCAGGGGGTTTGCCCAGCCCTCCCTGCGATCTCCCCTCACAAGTGACAGCCAGGCAGAGAGTTTTGTCTTCCTGGGTTTCCAAAGAAGTCACCTAGACTCATTTCTTGTCACAAACAGACTTAAGGCCAGTGAAAGAAGCCTAAATTTTGCTTTTATTCTCTCTGCTTGAAAGTACCTAGGAGTTAGTTTGTCTCTTTATTCTGCTGTCAACAGAGTCCAGTGGGTGCCTGGCGTGTGTTGACAGCCACCACGTCTTACTGGGCACACTCTTGTGAACCTGGTACTTTTTGAATCTTGCTGGCTTCCAGGCAGGTTGGAAGTTGTCATTGGCCCATGTAAAGATGGAGGAACTGAAGCCTTGGGGAGAGATGGGGATTGGATACAGTGATAGGTATGCGCTGAGCTATGCAAATGAGGTCTGACGTCGCCTGCCCACCCCTGCCTGTGTTCTTTGGTGTCAGAGTCACAGGCACTCCATTTGCTGGGTGAAGGACGAGGGAGCAACCGGCTGTGAGGCATAGAGCTCCCGCTGAAGGAAGGGGGCCTTCAGTTCCTGGGGAAGCTGGAGTTCAGAGAAAAGGTGAGGGAACTTTAGGGCCGTACTGAGCCCCAGCTAAATTGGGGAATGGGCCCTGAGCAAGGCTGTGGAAGGACATACTGTACCTGTTTGGTACTTTGTCTTGTGATCCAGCCTCTAGTACCTGAGATTGCTATTGCAGGGACAACTGTGGCTGAATCAGGAAGGTCTGGGATGGTCCCAGAGTGACCCCTTGTTCTCCTTTCCTCCCAACCCGCCCTGCAGCTTCTGCCTTCATCATCGCCATGCTCTTGGCCAGCCTCAACAGCTGCTGCAACCCCTGGATCTACATGCTGTTCACGGGCCACCTCTTTCATGAACTTGTGCAGCGCTTTCTCTGCTGCTCTGCCCGCTACCTGAAGGGCAGCAGGCCCGGAGAGACGAGTGTCAGCAAGAAAAGCAACTCGTCCACCTTCGTCCTGAGTCGCCGCAGCTCCAGCCAGAGGAGCTGCTCTCAACCATCTTCAGCATGAGCCACCTGCCTGGCCCACTGCACCTGCAGCGGGGGTTATGCGGACTCCAGTCTGCCCCTGGTGGCTGTGCGTGGAGTTGTATAAGGTGCCTATTGGTGTGTATCCCTCTCCTCCTTGGGGTGGCTAGCGAGTGGGGGCATGTTCTGACTTGGGGTGGGGAAATGTCTCTATGGGAGATGCCAGTCACTCAGCCATCAGAGGGTCTTCTGGGTTCCCACCTGTGCTTCTACTACCCCAACCAGAGTGCTCTCGGGTGGTGGGTGGGCTCTCCTGAACCTGGCTTTCATTCCATTATCTTTCTTACTTATTTATCTTGGGATCTTGTAAAAGGCAGTAAGCCATGGATTGGTGACCAGTTATGTGAGGAAACCCAGTGGGCTGGGACAAGGAATGGGAAATGAGGCTTCAGATACAGAGTGGTGCTGATTTCCTTGTGACCTGAGTTGTGTGGACAGATCTTAGCATCCTCAGGGGCCAGAGTGTCCCAGGAAAACAATGGGAACAGGAGACTGAATCGTGAGGCCACCTGCCTCAGGAAGGCAACAAGAACACGGGCTGAAGTGTTGAAGAAGCTGATGCTTGGTGAACATTTGGGAAGGAAAAAGATGAGAGTCATCCAGGAGAGACAGGACTGGGGAGAACTGTTTGTACACAACACTGATCCATGCTTATGAGACCCTGAGGAACACGCATGCATGTGTGCATGCACACACGTGCAAGTAGCCCCCCCCCCCACTCTGGAGCTGACAGTTGAATAGCAAGGTTGCAGAGTCCCAGATCAGTGTGCAAAAGCCATTCATATTTCCTTACACTTCTGGTGAACTTAAGAGATCCTACGCATAAATGTGCCAGAATGAATAAGGAAGGGCCAGCGTTAGCCGAGGAAATGTATGACTTCTGTCCTGAAAGCTGCAAACACCATGGAAGGAAATGAGAGGAGACTAAATAAACAGGGACACCTTGTGCTTATGGATCAGAGATGTAATATTGTTGGACAGATTTGATGTAATCCTCATCAAAATCCTAGCTGGCTTTGGCAGAAATTGATAACCCGATCCTGAAGTTCCGGAGGAAATGGGAATTAGGGTAGTTGAAATGCATTGGATTGTGCAGTTGGTGCATGATTTTGAGAACATATTAAAAGTCACTGAACCAGGGGCTGAGGAGACAACTCACTTAGAGAAGCACCTGCTGAGCAAGTCTGAGATGCCCCTCATCCAAGCAGGAGCCAGGCTCAGTGCGTTTGTAACCTCGGCCCTGGAGGGTGAAGACAGGCGCATCCCAGAGACTTGCTGGCCAGCTGGCCTAGGAGATTGATCATCTTCGGGTTCTCAAAATAAATAACTAAATAAAAATTAAGGTAGAGAGTGGAGGAAGACATCTGAAATTGACCTTTGGTCTCTACACGTGGATATACAGCATGCACACACTCACAGGCAAGCAGACAGACAGACAAACAGACAGACAGACAGACAGACACACACACACACACACACAAAAAAAAAAAAAACCCACGGAACTAAATACATTTTAAAATGTGAAAAATAAGAGGTCCAAAAACTGAGTTCTGGGAAAGTCAAAATGATGATGCATTTCTTGGTCTCTCTTCCTCGAGCGCTGGTTCTGTGTCTCACAACCTCCAAGTGTCTGCGGGAGAGGCTGCTTTCTTCTGGCCAGTGAGAGGGGCGATCACCCCCATCTGGCTCTAACAAAGGCCCGAGGGATGCTCTGCAGCGCCGTGCCCTCTCTTCTTTAGAACAGGCAATTCCTCTGGAGTCTCAAAGGCTTTGTTTACCCAGTAAGTATGATTTCAAATGTCCTCTCAGCCTTGAGGGCAGGACGTGACTCTCTCAGAAATACCTTCCATCATTAATACAGGACACAACTGACTAGTGGCGTTCTGGCTGTGGCTGGTCACCATGCACTCCGGAGTACCTTTGAAATACCCAGAATTGATTCTGGACTTCCTGAGATATATCAAGGGTACTTCCCAAAAGCCTTGAATCTGCAGATCCACTTTACCACCTCTCCCTGTTTCTGAACACATTTTCTTCTGCCGCACTGCAATATTTGCCCAAACTCACACATAGACCATAGGCACACACACACACAGGTAAGTATGAGATGGCACAGTCTGGTGTTCAGAGAAGGGGGAGCCATGGGCTACAGTGCCCATGTTCAGCATCCACAGTTTAAGGCGTGCTTGTTGGCACCAGCTGGAGACAGAAGGCGAGGGCATCTTTGGACTCAGGGGCATTGCACAGTGGCCCACCTCATGCATGTCACCACCAGCTAGTTCTTTGAGAAGCTGACAGGATTCTGCTTTGGGGCATCTGTGCCTATGTTCTAGGCCACCCGGGTGGCCAGGGTGTACACATGGCAGCAGGGTGGGGGTCTGTTGGCATCTGTATCTTGAAGATGTCATTCGTCCCTGCTGTTCACTGAGTATTTGCCATTCTTAGAGAAAGGAGGTGTCGCCAGGGGTCAACGGGACAGTAACTCAGATATTCTGACCAGGGGCACCACGTTTGGACATCGAAACCTCCGGGGGACACTGTGTCATTCTGTGCGAAAGCTCTAGCTGGTACCTTGGGTCTTGTTATGGTCCTGACACCTGTGTCTGTGACATAAATGACAATTGACTTCATCAGCAACATTGGATTGGCACTTGCTGTCCCAGTCTCACGGGAGAGTATTTTCACCATTTCTTGTTATTTCCCCAACCAAAGCCTAGGATCTCCAGGGGTCTAAAACACTTCCCCAACCCTGTGTCCTACATCTTCCTTCCTCAGACTCCACACTTGACATCCCCAGTGTCCTTTCCTATTTTCCACCCTGTTTACAATCTGTGTTCAGGTCTGGAGGTTGTATTAAATTGGAGCATGCTGAGTTTTCTGGAGTGTTTCATTGTTCTGACCATGAGGAGCCAGTGTGCAAACTGTGAGGGTTATTTAGGCCTGCAAAAAAAAAAATCGACGTTTAAAAAAGCTGTGGTCTTCTTTTGTATAAATCAGACTGATCTATTCAGGAAGCACAAGAGGATGTGTGTGCAGCCTGCCTGGATGATGTTCCTGGTTTCAGCATATAAGTGTTTTGTATTCAATTGCAACGGGATGCCACTTAGCACACAGTGTGAATTCCTTGGTATTGTTCTTCCATGGACTTGGTGTGGTGCCTCCTTGTCCCCGCATCTGGTGAGTGATGTGGCCAATCCTGCTTTACCAGTTGCTTCATAAAAGGTGCACTTAATAAATATTTTTCTGTGTACTTCACTGCCTTTTCCTCCCTCCCAAGAACAGTGGCCTCTCATATTAGTTCCCTGGCAGGCTCCAGGGTCACCTGTCTGCTAGTGACAGCTGTATGGACTGTGGCAGGGACCAGAAGGGGGGCTCGGTATTATTCTATGGAGTCCTAGGTGTGCTCACTTGTTTGTGGAAAGATTTGAGGATCTTGGACCCAACCCCTCATGAGATTTGTTAAACCCACTGTGCATTGTGGTCTAACTGGAGGTTTGGGATTCTTTAGTGTCACCTCGAAGGGATCAAGTTCCCAATGGGGAATGTGCGGAAAGCCATCCGAAAACTGGATTGCTAAGATTTGGTGTGTGTTTATGCTGGGGGGGGGGGGGACAACGAGGTGTTGTGAGTACACTCTGTTAATTTCACAGCTAGTCCAGATATGTAAACCCTGGGCCTCAGACACGTATGCTCTGGGCTCAGTATCTTCTGAGCCAGAAGGGAGATTCTGTGATGTTTGAGATTGGGACCCATCAAGGGATGCTCACTTGCTCTGAGTAGTCATAGCAGCCTCAGGGACATCAGAAGTCATGTGAAAACAATCTCTTCGTATGGGAGACTCTAGGCCCAGCAAACAAGCAGAAGGCTAACGAAAACACAACTTGGTAATACTTTCAAGTTGCCCAGAGCTCCAACTGAATTTTCTAGATTTCAGAGCCAGAAAAGGACACACGACCAAGTCACGGACAGGCAAAGCACGGCATTCCCCGGTGCAGCAGAAACCCTTTATTGCAGCACCCTCCTCATGTCTGCAGTCACTGCTTGCTCTCTTTTGCATGAGGAGCCGTGTCAAACCTCTAGGGGACTAGCTCTGGTTTGTGGTATTACAGTACAAGTGAACGCAAAGCCTTGCGGTAGCTGCCTCTTAAACCATCTGCCCTCAGGCAGGCTCACAGGGGATCATGGCGGGCTGAGCAGAGCGAGGGTGTCTGTGATTCCACACGTGGTCGTCTATTCCTTCTGGCTCCCCTGCCCATGCGTTCCCATCTTGATGTGAAATTGAAAGGACCCTCAGAAGAATGAGCTCTCCGGCAGCCCACGTGGCGTGGAGCCGCGGGGCTCACCCGGCCTAATTTCTCCTGCCCAGCCGCCCCCGTAGCCCAGCCTGGCTTTAGCCTTCCCTCCGCAGCACCACCTTGATGTTGCTGCAGACCTGGCCCAGCGCAGCAAAGAGCGGGTTGCAGAAGGTGCGGATACACAGTGAGTAGATGTGGCTGATGCACTGGATCTCGATCAGGTAGCTCTTAATGCAGGGCACCACGGCCCAGATGTGGCAGAAGGAGATACAGGCGAACAGGAAGCCCCAGATCAGGGCCAGTGGCACACCCAGCAGGGTAGACAGCAGGCGGTAGCACCAGTACTTGGAGACGGTGAAAGTGGTGTAGCTCACCTTCCATACACCATCGAAGCTGTAGGTGCCCTCGGGCTCTGCGATCACATCTTCAAAATCTACCTGCGGGAGCCAGAAGGGGACAGCTCAACTCACAGCATCTGTGGGTATTTCTAGCGTTTGCATACCTGTATCAGAAACTGCCAGCGGAGCCAGCTAGATGGTTGAGCAGCTCAGGGAGCACCTGTTGCTCTGGCAGACTTGGGTTTCGTTTCCACATAGTGGCTCACAATCACCCTCAACTCTGGTTCCAGGGAATCTGACACCCTCTTCTGAATTTCATGGGCCCCAGGCAAGCACATAGTGTATGGACATTAAGCAGTTCATACACATAAGTAAAATGAAGCTAAACAAAAGATTAAAAAAGATAAAAGAAACTCTGGGGGTCCTGGGGCTATATCTCTAATGACTGTCCAATATTGATGACAATGTTGGTCTCCAGTCCCACTGACTTGCCACGTACTGTAGTTACAAGGTACTCTGAAGCCTGCCCAGCCTCCTCATTCGATGCTTGGGTTAAAGGATGCCCAGAAGTCAATAGTTTGTTTAATATGGCGGTGCTTGAGTTGCAGTGTCTGCTATAGTTTGGGTCTGCAATGTTTCCCAAAGGCCTGGTCCCCAAGATGGTACTGTTGCGAGAGGGTAAAGGGAGGAAGTTAGGCCATCAGGAACAATTTGGCTCCACCATGTCCTCCTGCCATGATGTACTTGCCTTACCACAGGACTGAAAGCAACCAACTGACCGCAGACTAGATCTCCACATAAACCTTTCTATACATTGCTTATTTCAGATGTTTGTTATAGAGATGGAAAGATGACACCACCAGTTTTTTTTTGTTAACGTGACACAAATTAAAGTCATTTGAGAAGCAACCTCTATTGAAGAAATTGTCCCTACCAGACTGGCATGTGAGCAAGCCTAGGGTGCATTGTCTTAATTAGTGATTGCTGTGTGAGGAGGGACGAGCCTGTTGTGGGCAGTGCCATCCCTGGACAGGTGATACTGGGGTATATAAGAAAGCAGGCTGAGCAAGCCTTGGAAAGCAAACTAGTAAATTGTTTGTCTTAGTTAGAGTTTCAGTTGCTGTGAAGAGACACCATGACCACAGCAACTCATATAAAGGCAAAAAATTTAATTGGGTGACTTATAGTTTCAGAGACTTAGTTCATCATCATCATGGTGGAAGATGGAGGCATGAAGGCAGACATGGAGCTGTGAGGGGAAAAGGAGCTAGATCTTGATCCCACAGGCAACAGGAAGTGAACTGAGACACTGGCCATGACATGAGCATAGCAGGCCTCAAAGCCCACCTCCACAGTGACACACTTCCTCTAAGAAGGTCATCCTATTCCAACAAAGCCACACCTCCTAATAATGCTACTCCCTATGAGCTTATGGGGGTCAATTACATTCAAACTACTAGTGTTCCTCCATGCTTTCTGCTTTAGTCCCTGCCTCCAGGTTCCTATGCTTGAGTTCCTGTCCCGACTTCCCTCACTGATGAAGTATGACCTGAGAATTGTACACTGAAATAAACCCTGTCTCTCACAAGTTGCTTTGACCATGGTGTTTTATTACAGCAACATAAATCCTCGCTATGACACATACATTTTATTATTTAATGATCCTAATGAAGTTTGACGGCCAGGAACTAGTTGAGGCTCAGTTGGTAGAGCACTGGCCTAGCATGCACAAAGCCCTGGGTTTAATCCTTAGTGCCACACAAACCATGTAATTCCAGAACTTGAGAGGTGGGAGCAAGAGGATCGGGAGTTCAAGGGCATCCTCAACTATTTCGAGTGTTAAAGGGCCATTTGGGTTATAGGAGTCCCTGTTTCAAAACAAAAAACAAAAGCACAAAAAGAAGCTGAATGGTCATTTATCCTGCAGAGATTTGTGGATATCTTGTGGACATCTCATAAACTCCGATCCTTGTGGAACTAATGTGGGTGGTAAGTACTTGTTAAGCTGAAGATGGGGGCTGGGTACTTCTAAAGGGCATTTAACTCAGACTATGGAGCTTCCTGGTGGTAGCTTGTGTCTGAAGGCGGGCAGAGAATTTGTGGGTTGGAAAAGAGCATTGGGGCTAAAAGAATAGTGCAGCCTCAGGAGATCCAGCTGTTTCCTGAATTCAACAAGGAACAGGGTGTTACTGGAGAGGGTGCATGGAGAGACTTCACTATCATGGACCTTTTGATGACAGTGGGCAGTGCTCAGCTGAATCTCGGTTGTTTAGTTATTGCAACTGGGCAGTAGGCATGCTGGCAGCGAGAATGGATGTGGGAGTCAGTGAGAACTGTTTTGTAGTAGTAGCTGTGAGTTGGAAGGAGACACAGGTAAGGGAACCACCGGCCCGTGGCAAGACACAGCCAGCCTAGAACTGGCATCTTCACCTCTGGTTTCTGTGTAGCAAAAATGGAGAGTTTCTATGTCTTCAGGGATCTCCCAATGTTGAGGATCCTAGAAGTTAGGTTGGAGGGCCCTTCCAACCTAACCTGGGTACATTCCCCATCCCCACCTCTCAGAAAGGGACTTTGTCTATGGAAAGGTTTTGACCTTAGAGACCTTTCCAACCTCTGTGGTGCCAACACCCTTCCTGAGAGGATCTCCTGGGGTAGCTGTAGAGAGACCCGCATGACCTCAGAGACTCTGCCAGCAAAGAGACATTTGGGCAGAGGTTTGCTTCTCTGCCTTTGGCCCATTTGACTCCTTTCCACTGGCCTCCTTGCCCAACCTATCCTGAGCCAGGCTCAGTCCCGGCATCCTGACTAATCCAATGTCTTCCCACTACTGCAGTGGGGGTCAGACCCCAAGGTGTATGCCGCATCCGTCAGGGAGGGCGAGCCCTACTAGTGAGATCTGGCCCTTGGTAGGCAGAGAAACCTATTCCAAGACAGAGCCACAGCTCTTTATCTTTACCGCCTACCCAAAGCTGAGGCCCATCAATCACAGTAGCCCCGCCTGCCCCTTTAATTCAGCA